CCCCACACACACACACGCACTTTCTCTGATTTTTCTCCATGACATTCCAGCCCTAGAAAACAAAAGCATGAATCACCGCAGTTCACTGCGTTTCCACCTTCCTTGCTGAGAGTCTAGGAAAGCCACTTTTATGTTTCCAGTACAGTCAACTCTTTATTATCCAAGTGTGAACTTTATACTTTGTGGGTGGTCTGTAGGTGGTTCCTAACACCAGGCTTCCTCTTGCTCCCAACACACTTTTACCGTATTAATCAGGATGTGTTCAGAGCCTGAAATAAAGTTTGGGAGGAAAGCACACTGCCAGAGCACAATTCATTCCAAAGCTGTGTATCAGTTTTTCTGTATTATCCACCTCATTGACATGATAACCTTGAGGTCCCCAAATAGAAAAGTGTACAATTGTATATAAGTGATGAAGCTTCAGCCTGCCCCGTGAGACACACCTGCCTTGTCCCTGAGGCCCTTTCAGAGTGTTGCTGTGGGAAGCTGTGTGTCTAATACCTCCATGCTCACGTGAGCCCATTCTGGGTCCTAATGGGCCATTCTTGAAGCCAACCCCTGTGTTCATGTTATCACCTGCCTTTCCCGTGAAAGACGTGGCAATGTGGAGTATTCCCGGTTCTAATGGGATGGTAACCTTCAGTTCTAATGCTGAAGAGACTCTTTATGTCCCTAGCAATTTACATATGAAAGAAGAATAAATGTTCCTTTGTGCCTACTAAGGATTTTCTGTATCTTTTGAGTATAAGCTATGAAACATTAATGTTACTGAAAAAAAAAAGTTTAAATTTTTTCTTCTACAATTTATTTGATTATTGACTTGAGTTCATTCAGTCCAATAAGTACATAAACATTAGTGAGGGTGTCATTTATTTGTCCTTTTATTCCCGAAGAAGGTTTTTAAAAAAAAAAAAAAAAAATTCTTTGGAGCCATTGGATAACCAATTCGGTTTTTAAAATTTTGACCCTGAAACTGAGGGCACATAAAATAAAGACTTTTGTCATATATTTATGTTTTGACTTTGCAAGATTAATTGGGATTTATATGAGGTGGTTAAGCAATAGCCATGGAGTTGTTGGGGAATTTTTGGTGATGAACGGCCAGCTGGCAACATGGCCTGAGGAGAGGCCTGGGCTTCTGCTCTTACAGGCCGCTTTTCATTCCAAGATGTCAAAGCCTTTATGGAAATCAGCTCATTAATCCTTCAAGTTCCTTCCTTCCCCTTTTTCCTCCATCCCTCCCTCCTCAGTCCAGGTCAGTGTCTCTCTCATGGCGAGAAGGCAGTTTACCGGCTACTGAAGGAAAATGAAGCCGACCCAGGCCAGAAGTGGGGTGTGCATTGGGGTCCGTGGCAGGCCTGGAGAGGCTGGCTGCAGGTGCTCTGCGAGGGCTATCAGCAGTCTCCTGCCGCCACTGCCCCCCCTCAGCCCCCCCTCCCCGTGTGGCCCCGTCTGCCACCCTTGCAAATGACAGATTCTAGCCCTGCTGCCCCAACTGGATTGTAGGCCCCACCTAAATAGGAAGGACTTTTCGAAAGCCCTGTCAAATAGGACTAAGAGGTGAAAAGACTTACTATTTTGATTAAGAGTTGGAATTATTATTTGGGGCTTAAAATTTTTCGGAAATCAATTTGATTATAAAAGGAAGAAGTGTGTGTGTGTGTGTGTGTGTGTGTGTGTGTGTGTGTGTGTGTTTAGATAAATGTGGTGAACTGAATGAACCATCAGACTAAATAAGTACAATGGATGATGGGATGACCAGGAAGAAAAATGTGCCCCACTAAATTTTTTTCACCTTTTTTTTTTCTTGGTTGTCAGTGTAGTGTATGCTTATCCTAGAAAAGTAGGCAAGTGCGAAATTTGAAAGCGAAGAGAATTTAAGTCTGCTTTTACCAACATTCGGGTGGAAACCACCATTTCTAATTCACAGTTTTATGTATGTACTTACTTCATCTTTTCTCCTGTGCCTTTTTTTTTTTTTAACAGAGTTGAGGTTTTGCTGTAGCTAAAAGTTAGAGCTTACTTTTTTCACTTAACAGTATCATGAAAGTATTGGCTATTATTATTAAAAACTCTTGATGATGGCCAAGAAGGAAAATAGTATGGTGTTTCCTCAAAAAATTAAAAATAGCATTACCATATGATCTAGCAATTCCACCCAAATGAATTGAAAACAGGGTCTTGAAGAGATATTTGTACATTCATGTTCACCGCTGCATTATTCACAATAGCCAAAAGGTGGAAGTAATGTAAGTGTCCGTTGATGGATGAATGGGTAAACAATGTGATATATATGGACAACATAATATTATTCAGCCTTAAAAAGGAAGGAAATCCTGACAAGTGCTACAACATGGATGAACCTTGGGGATATAATGCCAAGTGAAATAAGCCTGTCACAAAAAGACAAATGTGGTTCTGATTCCACTTACACGAAATACCTAGAGTAGTTACATTCATGGAGACAGAGTAGAGTGGTGGTTGCCAGGGGCGGGGGAGGGGGAATGAGGAAGCAGCATTTAAAGGGTATAGAGTTGTAGTTTTACAAGATGGAAAGAGTTCTGGAGTTTGTGACTCTTGGTATTGGCATTTATTAAGTACCCAGATTGGCTGATGGTGAGTTTTTACTTCAGGCAGTAGTTCTTAATGCTGATGGCTGCATATTAGAATCATCTGGAGAGGTTTTAAAACCTGATGCCAGGTTCCCCCTCCAAAATTTCTGATTTTTTTTTGGTTGAGGGTGTGGCCCAAGAACTGGTAGTTTTAAAACTCTCCAGGAGATAGTAAAATTCAGTCAGATTGAGAGCTACTGATGTGTTCTTGTGCCCTATTGTGTCTCACATCTCCTTGAGAAAGAAGAT